TTCTGAACTTGTTGTTTTAATGATGATATGTCGTGGGTAGTTCTATTTTGATCTGGTCTGTTTGGTGTCCTGGAGGCCTCTTGCATCTGTATGGGAATATTTTCTCTAGATTTGGGAAATTTTCTGTTATTATTTTGTTGAATATATTACACATTCCCTTTGCTTGCACCTCTTCTCCTTCTTCATGCCCATGATTCTCAAGTTTGGTCTTTTGATGGAGTGAGTTCTTGCATTTTCTTTTCACAGGTCTTGAGTTGTTTAATTAATAGTTCTTCAGTTTTTCCTTTAATTACCATTTCATCTTCAAGTTCTGAGATTCTGTCTTCTGTTTGTTCTATTCTGCTGGATTGGCCTTCCGTTTTGTTTTGCAGTTCTGTTTCATTCTTTTTTCTGAGGTTTTCCATATCCTGGTTTTCCTCTTTAATGTTGTCTATTTTTGTCCTGAGTTCATTTATCTTATTATCATGTTCTTTGTTTCACTTTGGTGTTTATACAGTGCTTCTATGGTTTCCTTTATTTCTTCTTTTGCTTTTTCAAATTCTCTATTTTTGTTGTCTTGGAATTTCTTGAGTGTCTCCTGTACATTTTGGTTGACCCTATCCAGTATCATCTCTATAAAATTCTCATTGAGTACCTGTAGTATTCTTCTTTTAATTATTCTTGTGGGCTTCATTGGGTTTTGGCATAGTTTATCTTCATTTTGTTGGAGTCTGGATCTGAGTATCTGTTTTCTCTTCATTCCCTCTGGTTCCTGTACTAATTTTTTGCTGTGGGGAAACTGGTTTCCCTGTTTTTTTGTCTTCCCATCATTGCCTTGGTGTTGTTATGTCCCTGTACTGTGTGCAATTAAGTATTTTCTAGCTTGTAATAATAACAATTTAGAATGGAAGGGTGAGAGGAGATGGAAAGCAAGAAGTTAAAGAAAAGGGAAAAACAAATAAACAAGTAGAAAAAAATAAAACAAACAACACAAAACTTTCAAAGATATAAACAGGGAGCAATAGTGTACTAATCAAAAGTAAGCTGAACAGGCATTAGAGAGACAGATGAGGATTGAAAATAAGAAATAAAAAAATTTTAAAAAAGAAAAATAAAAGTAAAAAATAAATAAATGAAAAATGAAAAAAAGTACATATATATAAAATCTCCAAGTTCAAATGCAATAAAGTTTCAGTCTTAATAGTTTTGGTGTTCTCAGCTCCAATCCTGGAGATGGTGTCTCAGAAGTAGTTGTATAATTGTCTCATCAAAGGGGAACCAAAACTAATATAAACAAAACAAAACAAAAAACCCACAAAGTGTCCCAAGTTCAAATGCAATACAGTTTCAGTAGGTTTTTCAGCATGCAGGTGTAGTTCAGTTGTTGTCTCATCAAAGGTAGGGAGAAAGAGTCTGGAGACAGTTCTGTGAATGGTATCTGCAGCTGTGGCTTGCCTGCCCGCTGCTGTCAGCCTGCTGTTGCTGGAGGCGTTATTTACGCAGATCTCAGGGGTGAGCTTAGCACTCACCTGGCCCGCAGGCTTTGTTTGCTCAGAGTTCTCCTGTGTGGGAACCTCTGCTACAGGCTTTCCCCTTTCCAAGCACACTGGGGGAGGTGACACTGCACCAGCTTTCTCAGGCCTGCGTGTTTATTTACAGTTCACGTGGGAAGTGGGTCTTAACCCCTCTCCTGTGGAGTTTTCCTCCCACCGCCACTTTTACAAGCTTTCCCGCTCCTGATTGCTGGGCGTGCACAGCTGCTCCCACATTCTTGCCCGGCTTATTTACAGTTCCATGAGGGATTTCCTCTCCCCCCTTCTTCAGTGCTCAGGGAGCCCCGCCCCTTTCCTACATGTCTCTTTTGTTGTTATTGCTTATTATTCAGGTTTTTTTTTCTTTTTTCCCTGGGTGGGGGTCGGTCTGTCCAGGGAGCTATGCTGATCTGGCCCAGGGTTTTTTGTGGAAGTACCGCATACAGCTTAGCTCACTTTGTGGTCCGCATTTTCCCAAGTCGTCTGGGTGCCGGCATCTCACAGTGGCCCGGGGGCCCTCCTGGTTTCTCCATTTAATGTGAAGTGGGGATGCTGTGCGCAGGCAGGGGGTTGTGGAGGAGTCAAAGTTTTGCTTCTTCTCAGTGGTTTTTCCTGTAAGGTGTATCTCCAGCGTCTCTCCAAGATTTTACTTTAGGAGGCATGCTTTCTGCTTCCTCCCTCTAGCTGCCGTCTTGGAATTCCCCCTGCATGTTACCTTATTCAGCAAAAGTCACACTTATAAAGTGCTTTGAATGTCTGCTTTTTAAATATTTCACCCTCATATTGTCTGACCACATATTGTCTGTGTGGTTCTTCAAAATCATATGAGTTCATTAATTTGCTTTGTTTTACCTCATTTAATCATCTTTGTACATTTGCATTTATTTGTTTTCTGAGATAGGGTCTCATTTTAGCCCAGGCTGACCTTGAACTCAGAATTCTCCTGCCCCAGCCTCCTCAGTGCTGAGATTATAGGCTCCTGTCACCACATCCAGCATCATTTCACACTCTTAATGCTATAAGGGAAGTAATATTAAGATCCCTCACTTACTATGAAGACATTTGAGTACAATGAGGTAAACAAGTTTTCTGAAGACTCACAGCTGGAAACAGAAAGTAGGAATTTGAAGTGAGGCAACCTCATTGCAGGAGCAATGTAAGTGACACCAAAAACCCTTGCATGTAGCATGGTGTGGGTCAGCAGGTATGGGGCAGAAATGTGCCAGCAGGATAAAATCACGCACTTACCATTCCCAAAACATGGCACATTATTGGTGAGTCTAACATTTTTCCAAGGCAAAAAATAAGTTCGGGCACAATAAATTTCAGAAATCTTGAAACACCGATTTACTCAAAGTAAATATAGTTTATATCCCACAGAATGATTGTCATTTGTGCTTCCTCTAACCCTACAGTCCTCTCTGTCTTTATGTGAGTTGGTTATGCTGATGCATCCTTGACTTTCAATTTATCAGAGATTGGCTTTGGGAAGCTTTCCGTAACATCACCCACACCAGTCAGCTCAACTGCCGAAACAAAACCTCTCAGGCTGAGTGGCTTCAGCAACAGAACTTCACTTTCATGAAGTTCTGGAGGTTGGAAGTTGAAAAACTTGGGTGGCAGCATAGTGGAGTTGTAGTGGGGGCCTGTAACCCAGTTCCCCACATGTCTCTGCCCATGTGCTCCTGCAGTGAGGGGGGAGAAGGAAGGAGGAGAGGCAAGAAGTTCTTCTTCACCTGTGAAGACACCAATCCCATCTGTCTTGTGAGCTCACTTCATCTCAGTTATCCCCTAGAAGTCCCCCTCTAGATACAGTTAGATTGGGACTTTAATGTATGAACTGGGGATGGGGGGGGCTGACAAAACTAAGCCTATGACAGCATCTTCTAGATTTCTACAGTACTTCTTAGAATGAATGCACTCAGATCACCTGCTGACTCACCTGGGCTCCCTCAGGCAGATCCCAGCTCCTTGCCTTTGTATCCCTGACACTCAGTGGCCAGGTAGGAGATGGCACTTTACTATTTGTTGCTGCTGTGTGAACGAATGAAGACATAATACCAACTACTTTATTTTGCTTTTATGGGGTCTTAGCAGCAAACGCCATCATTAGAATGGGGTCATAGGATACTTAGGCCTAAGAAGATGTAACAACAAGCCTTATGTTCATTTAGCAACTAAACCTATGGACTTTAATCAGGTCCAATGTCCTTATCAAATGGCAGAATCTTACTTCCACAAAGCTAACATGGAAGTCTTTACTGTATGGGGAAAAGGAAATGTTCTCTCTTTTTCCCACTTCTCCCTACTTTATCATGCTATACTAAAATAAATCCTTAATAAAACTTTAAAAAAAAGCTTGACACTGATCAACAGCCACGAGCAGGGCTCATATTCAGGTTAGTAGCATGCAAGCTCAATTCATAAATTCTTATTTCGGGTGAACCAATTATTGAAGGTTAGGACAAACAATTTAATAGATCATATCTATTGCATAAATGATCATGAGATATCAACAATATACTCAGTAATCAGTCAAAATTAAATATTAAAAAAGACTACAATCAGGCCTGTACAAAACTTTATTGTACTCTGAATAACAATCTTGTAACAAAATTTTGAGCATGACAAAGACAAAATATCTCAAATTCTGTTCCCTACAAAAGCATTAAGTACAGTACAAAAAGACTTTGTAATATTTTTTTAACATGCTAACAATATGAAAACACGCCAGGCTTTGTGGAACAGCCTTTCCTTTGAACAACATCTTAGCTGTTTGATCTTCTACAATGAAAATCAACATGAATGACACCCACATAATAAGTGAAACAAAAGAAAAGCAAACATTCCAATTAATTAGCCACTATGAAGTCATTTTAGTATTCCTGAACTTATATTTCCTCTCAATACATTGTACAATGGAACTTTTAAAAAATGTTTTGACGTTAGTTAATTATGACTGTTCTCTATGCAATCAACACTGTCAGCACACTCACTGATCTTATTTTAGAGTCTGAAAACAAAGTAATAAACACATTCATTTCATTCAGAGGAGATATTCAGGAGACTGAACAATAGCGTCCACCAACTCCAACCAATCAGCACAAAGGAGCAGGTGACTCGTATGACAACACTGGTGTCCCTCTATTGTGGGGAGACTGGCTCCCCACCCAGCCCTGTCCCACCCCGAGGATACAAACTCCACAAATGATTAAATCCCTTAGATAAAGTGGCATAGTATTCGCATATAACCTGTGCACATTTTCCTATGTACTTTAAATAATTATCTCTAGATTACTTATAGTACTTGAAACAATGTAAATGCTACACAAATAGTTATTCACTGTATTATTTAGAGAATAATGACAAGGGATAGTCTGTACATGTCCAGTATAGACAGACACAATGTTCTAAAAATACTTTCTATCCACAGTTCGTTGAATCTGAGGTTGGAGGACCCACAGACACAGAGGGCCAACTCTCCCATCCATCCCAGCTGAATATCAGCCCTCGTCTTATTTCCAGCGTCCAGGTACATTATGGCTGATGCAGACACATGAGCTGTAAGATAAGCAACATGAAATACACACAAACATGAACTTGAACTCAAGTCTTTCCTGCATGGAGACTGCGAAGTATTTCACAGTGACTGAAATCAACTGACTAACAGGCAATGGTGGATTTTTGCGTTTAACTTTGATTAAAAAGAATGGACTTAACAAGAAACCCTTGAGAATTAATTAATGCTACTAATCTTGAGACTCCAAATTACTGAGGAGCCTTTAAATATCAGTACATGTAACCTTTTATACACTTTTCCTTAAGGAAAAAGAAATAAAAACACCGAGGTACTTTAGTTTCTTTTCGAGGGGTTTCTCTGGGTTATCTTCCTGAGCTGCACAAGACCACAAAAGCACCACGCCTGGGCTGTCGAGTGAGGCGTCAGACATTAGTAGTTTGGTCCTTTTCTAAATGGATCTCTTCCGACAATGACACTGAAACACAGGGATGGATCGCAGATGCCAGGAGGGCCTGGCTGTCCTTGGATTCCAGGGTTCCCATGATCTCCATCTTTGCCAGGGACACCTGGGTGCCCTGGAGGACCTTCCTTGCTTATTCCAGGAGGGCCCTCTGGACCTAAGACAGGACATTAGCAACAGGTGAGCAGAGCGCTTTGGTCTTTGATGGTGAAGTAAATGATTCTGCAAGAAACTTAAACTGAAAAAAAAAATCTCTTGAACACTGAGCATTTGACACATTTGCAGTAATTCTTTTGCTAATTCTACGGGATTCCCACTTTGTAAAGGACCATACAAAAGTTATCGGTACAATGTATAAAAGTAGGATGGACATGATCTTATTACTACAGCAATTGTGCTACCCATGAAGACACTGAGCTAACATTAACATTCCAGTTTGTGGATTTTCTAAACTTACTCTTTTCAGCCTCCCTTTTGCCACTATTTTATTAAATTAGCAGGCAGTGAGTAGGTAAGTCAAAACTTCAAGGATGTCATTTTGTGGCATATTTGCAGTAAAAATGACTATTTCCATTATATGTACGTATTTTAGATTCCTCATTTAATTATATCATTATTCATTATTTCCGTAGTATAATAGTCATCAGTACACATAAGTGTCATATCACTAATCTGTCCACTACATCCTACTTTGTTTACTTAATATGCTTAAGAAAAGGAGAATAAAGTTAACTTAGGACGCTGACCTTTTAAAGTTGATGACTCAAAATAAAGACAAGATATTCAGCTCTGTGGACAGAGCAGAGAGGCAGGGCACTTCCTACTATCCACTTTCTGCTAAAGCAAAGGGTAAACACTCACTCAACACTTAGCCATGCCTGTGAGTATTGTTTCAAGTGTTTTAGAAAAGCAATATTAAATCATTTGATCTACTCAACAGCTTCCTGGGTTGTCTACAATGGTAATAAAACAAAAACTGTGACTGCCATGGCCTGCTCTGAAAGCACCGCGCGTGAAAACGTGTCTAATCTCCCAATGATACCATCTTGCACACAACATTATCACTGCCATTTCACAAACGAGAAAACTGAGACCAGCCAAGCTAAAAAGCACAGTGATCAGAGGACCATTAAGAGTCCACTTCAGCATTAGTGTGCTTCCCTGAGGGTCAAAGATTAAACAGCATCATGCACTAGATAGGCAGGGGTGACTAAAAACATTCAAGGCCTTTTAAGGGGTACATACCAGACAAAATGATAATCTTAAAATACTTTCTGAATATAAAGTAACATTTGAAAAACTTCTGGTAATTAAACCTTAATGTTTTAAATGTGTATCACTCAAAAGTAAATGCCCTGGTTTTAAATTATTTAGTACAGCTTTATGACGATTTCTCTTAAAGCAAAATGTGTATCAATCTGTCTGTGGGGAAGAACGATCACTTTGAGTTTACAAATTGAGATACGGGCTTAATACATGGCAAAATCCCCCACGCTCAATAAATAAATAAATAAATAAATAAATAAATGCAGCAACACTTACAAGCACTGTCCCGACCCTACCTGGGGGACCAGGGGGACCTTGTTCTCCAGGATATCCAGACCCTTGGCTCCCTTTTGCGCCATTTCTTCCTGGTAAGCCTGCAGGGTGTCCGACACGTGAGTAATGTTATTCTCCCGCACAATTACTGCTTTCTACACCATTTCTGTCAAAGCTGTTAACACACACATTGCAAGAAAAGCAAATCTATTTTAAAATAGTTTGCACAAACACAACAAGAGGATTGGAGTTTGATCACAAGATAAAGCGAGAGCACACAAGTAAGGGGTGAGGATAGGTAAGACACCTAAAAAACTAGCTAGCATTTGTTGCCCTCAATCAGAGAAAAACTAAAGCAGATACCTTAAAGCAACTGAGGCCAATAGAGAAAGGGGACGCAGGAACTAGAGAAAAAGGTAGATTCAAAAAGAATTAACCAGAAGGTAAACACCCAACGCCGACAGGAAAATCAATGTGAGGGTCAATGCCCTGTATAAGCTATCCTTATCTCAACCGAGCAAAAACCGTTCCTTCCCTATTATTGCTTTACTCTCCTCTACAACAAAATTAGAAATAAGGGCAAAAATAAGTTTCTTGCTGGTATGAGGGGGTTTGGGGAGCAGAGGGAGGGGGCGGAGTGGGTGGTAAGGGAGGGGTTGGGGGCAGGGGGGAGAAATGACCCAAGCATTGTATGCACATATAAATAAAAAAAAAGAAAAAAATGTTAAAAAAAATAATAAAAAATAAAATAGGTTGCACGAAAACAGAGAACAGGAGGTCAGAACAGGTCCTGTCTTGGAGACTGGTACCAGTGGGAAGGAGAGGATGTGGAGAAAGGGCGTAGGTTGTTGAATATGGTGCAAATACTATGTACTCATGTATGAAAATGGAAAAATGAGACCTGTTGAAACTGTCCCAGGAGTGGAGGGAAGGAAGATAAAGGAGAATGATAGAGGGGTGAATTCACTATGGAGTATCTGTGAAGACTTTGTAAACATGTCACAATGTACCTCTCAGGCAATGTCAACGAACAATAATAAAAAATAATAAAATGTAAAAAATAGTTTGCATGTATTTTTTATTACTAATGGGAAACAGAATCTTTGAAGCCAAATATTCGAAGGTTATCAGGCTTCCACATGAAAGACTTGACAGGAATTACATACTAAGAAAAGACATTAGTTTGGCATTATTAATCTTGGTATGAATTATGATCCTTACAAAGCATCTAAATTATTCATCAATATTAAATAAAAGGGAAGAGTTATCAAATGATATTTCAAATAAACTTTCAAAGGCAAAGTGAAGTAAATTGTAGCCTATTATGAAGCTTGTTTGTAAAACATAATTTTTTTTCCTATAAATATTTTGAACAAGGTAGCAGTGTAGAAAGTTACCATAGTCAAAATAAGTGAAATGGTATCTGTGATTTTCTACTTGAAGACCTTATCAGTCGCAATTAAAAATTCTAAATGTATTGTCAACATTTCTAACTTCATGTGCTAATAATTTTTAACCTCTTTTCCTTAGTGAATATGGATTCAATAAAAGAAAATAGTCTAACTCACTTGACAAATTATTGAAAGGCTTAGGGATTTATAAAGCAATTGCCTCTTTTCTGCTCGTTCGCTTTTGCACACAAAGTTAAGTACCTTTTAATCCTCTAGCACCAGGGCGCCCAGGGACGCCCATTAATCCAGGAACCCCATCTCTCCCTGGCAAACCAGGAAATCCTCGGGGACCTTCAGGGCCCATGGGACCAGGTGGCCCAGGTACACCAGGAGAGCCACGTTGAGTCTGGCAATGGTCACAGTTTTGAATTCTTCCACTCTGAAGTAAGACTGGTAGCTGGGCTTAAAAGCAAAGAACAGTCCCCATTTATGTTCAAATGGTGAGGCAGAGTTAATACTGCTAATCATTATTAATTTACAGAGGAAATCCACAGTCACTGAATATGTGCTTATCTCTTGGCCAATAATTTCATTTTGAGGAATTTAATCACAGAAACAGCCATTGCAATATGCAATTGGTATGTATGATAGCAATTGCTTAAAATACAGAGGAAAAGTGAAAGTGCCCCCCAAAGAAATCAGTCAATTACAGACACCTATAATACAAATTAAATGATCAAACATCACTTCACAAAAAATTAATTGATGAAACCATGATGAAGTGCTTTGTTAAAAATTATAAGAGCATATATACTATTCCATGTTTACAAAAATATGCATCCTCTAAACCAGATATGAGCTTAGAAATGTCTGTTTTCTTCTTTATCTTACTTATTTGTTCTACAATTTCTACCAAAAATCTGTATTACTTTTGTACTTTGAAAGAAATTATTTAAAAGTATGGTTGAGACATACCTCTTAATACATCAGTGCAAACTTGTCGAATAAACTGTTCTGAAAATTCTCTTCCCTGCATCAAATCATTAAGGATTATAATATGTACATACTGAGTAAAAAAGTCATGAAAACATAAACACCGTGAAAGAAGCAGAATACATACGGGCTTCCCATCCAGTCCTGGTGGCCCCTGAGGACCCATGTCCCCAGGCTGTCCCTTGGGACCTGCAGGCCCCATCAGGCCATTCACCCCAGGATCTCCTTTTGGTCCAATGCCACCTCTCATACCAGGTTCTCCCTTTTCTCCTCTCTGAAGCCAAAAATAAATCTTTAAAAGTTCTATTCAAATATTTCAGAAGGAGTAATTGCATCACAAACGTCCGTAAGGGTATGAAAACAGACATGTATGTATTCTACTAGTTACGTTGTTGTAACAGAATGCCAGCAGTGACCCAGACAGGTCTTCCACATCACCTGAACCGTCATTCGCCATGCCTCCAGCTGGTGAGCCCTACAAACATCTATTTACTGTGAACGCCACGTCCAGGGCTGGAAGGCAAGGCCTGCTTCCAAGGAGCGGTGGGAGAGACAGACTCAGAAAGGCGCACCGTTCTCTACTGAAAAACACCGGCTCCCAGCAGAGGATAAGAATCAGTGACATCAGCAGGTGTGTGATGTTCCCTACCTGATTCACATCAGTGCTGCAGTCTAAAAACCCTAATTAGGAACTTTTTCTGAAGAACACGAAAAACATTTTCTCTTCAAACATCGAAAGCTAGATTTATACAGCATTCAAAAACCAAGCAACAAGGACAGAATAAAGAGGGTGTCACCTGTGAAGAGACATACCTGTCCTTTCCCTCCAGGATGGCCTTGACTTCCCTTTGAAAATAGGAAAAACAAAACAAAAACAAAAACAACCCTGTAATAGACGTGTAAGTCACCGTACCAGTAACATGGGTTACACCTACTACATGCATTTAATCAATTTTAGCTCTCAGTTTGGAGACTTCTGATAGAATTAGTGTAGAAATGCATATATGAGAAAGCTTTTTGTTTTTCTGCTCTTTAAAAAGAGGTTAATGATTAGCTGGAGAACAAAACATTTTAATTGCGTAACTGTTCGCGATCAGATAGCATGCTTTCACACTCCACAGGTCAAATTGCACAGGTTAGAACAGGGTTATACTAGATTTAAAATATGTCACTATTTTAAGGCAAAGAAAACTCAACACAGTAAATATGAAGCATGTTTATTCTCACTCTGTTATTAAGACAGTCTATTTTCCCAAGTCTATATTCTTAAAATTAAATTTTGATTGAGTACTAGAGATAAAGGAAAAATTAAAGCAAAGGCACCATTAAAAGTGATCAAGGGCCAGGCATGTCTGTAACCCCCATTACTTGAGAGACAGAGAGTGGAAGGATTGCTTTTTGAGGTCAGCTGGGGTGGGGGTGGGGGAACTAGCAAGACCTTATCTGAATCAATGAAACAGGCACGGTAGAACACAGCTGTAATCCCAGCTTCAAGGGAGGCATAGTTAAGAGGATCACCATCCTAGGCTAACCCTGAGCAAAAGCATGAGACCATATCCAAAAAATGAATTACAGCAAAAGAGGGCAGAGGGCATGGCTCAAGTGTAGGGTGCCTGCCTAGCAGGTGAGGCCTTGAGTTCAAATCCCAGTACTCAAAAAATGAATCAGTAAACAAAAATGAATACATAAATAAAAGTGCTTCAGTAGAGAGAAAGACACCGTTTTTTCCTTTTTCCTGTGCCTGAACCACTCACTGCTGATAAGTAAGGGATTAAAGAAGTAGTATTACACAAAATGTGGTATTTTTCCCAGTATAGAAACACTGGGGCATCCATATGTGAGGCCCACTCATCATTATAATGCTAGGGTATGTCCAGTCCATTATCCCCCACTGGTGTCTTTCACATATTCATTCAAATGGCATATTATACATGATAAGAACACTCAGGAAAGGCATTAAAATATTCTATTTCTGAAATTTACAGTACACTCAGACTCTAAAATCACTCAATATCAGATCAGGAAAAGAGGTTTAACTTTCAAACACACAAGTAGGGTTTCATAATTCAAGTTTTAAAATTGGTGTTTAGCAATTCAGTATGAAAATAAATAAATTTCACACAATGAATTTTGAGTTGGATATAATTGGATTTATTTTCAGGTCCATATCATATTCAAAGGAAACAAAGGGAAGAAAAGTTAGGTAAAATCAGTGTTTGTTACCAACAAAGTAGATGCTTTAAGATGTGAGCATAAAACACCAAATACTCAGTTCTCACATAACAATTCCTGGAGCATCCCTAACTTGAAACCTAAAATCTGAAACTTTTCAAGCCTCGACATGATGACACAAGTGGCAAACTCCACACCTGACCTCATGTGTGAAACTTTGCTCTGTGCACAAAATTATTAAAAATAGCATTACTTTTGGCCTAAGGGAATATGAGACAGAAATGAATTTCACAGTGAGACCTGGGTTACGTCACCAAGACAGCTCCTTCTGTGTATGCACACATTCCAAAATTTTAAACCTTCTGAAATCAGAAACACATTTGGTCCTAAGCATTTAGGCTAAGAGATACTCCACCGGCAGTCATTAAAATCATCTGTAAGATGCTTGAAATATTGAGGTTTGTTTCTGAAGAAGTGCAGAGGTGATTCCTACCAGGAGAAATCCTACAACTGGCACCAATGTCAGAGGAAAGGCAAAATAGTAAGTTCTGGGGATGAGGAATGAATTAGAGCTGAAACTGAAATCAGCGTCACTGAGAATCCATTAAGCTGATTGTGTGAGAGAAACACTCCTTGGACACTGCTCACAAAATAGGGGGCCAGGAAGTCACACACGTGCAGCACTTGATCCCATGACAGGTGACTAAGGGTGTTTACATGAAGAGTTTGGGATGACCACTCATCAGCAGATCAGCATCAGTGTCTCTGACCCCTGGGTTCCCTGTGTAGGATCAGTTCTAGGCAGTGGGAAATGTAGCTTCCAGCAAACCCAGCTCTCTAGCAAACTCAAATCCTATCTCAGGAGAGCACAGTCCTCGAGAATGAGGAAATGTTAATGGGGCCTTGGAGGAACAACCTGTAAACCAGTGAGCTAGCTAAGTTTGAATTCAAATGCCAAAGGACATAGCCTTTCATACAGAGAGTTATTATAATGACTTTTGCTGAAAGGCCTGGCCTGTCGAGGTTGAATGAGAAGGGATGGAGGTCCTATGAGAACAGCTATTTAAAAATCCTATCAAGGATACAGTGGGTTGGGTCATTCATTAGATTTGAGTCAAGTTCAGTAGAACAAATATTAAAAGACGTTTTTTGGTCAAGCATGCATGTAGGCAAACCCATTCGCCTCTCAGTGGTCTTTTCTCCTACTGTAAGATTCTAAGTTTTCAGCTTCTCAATATATAGCACTCGCTATAAATTGCAGACCACCCTGTGGCCATATGCTTTCAACACTCTGTCCCATGGGCTCTGGCATTCTTCCTAGTGACAGAGTCAATGGCCCTGGACACTTTGCTACATAGTTTTGTCACCCTAGCTCCAGAGCTGGTGAAATTTCTGATTTTTCTCCTGCCCACTCTTGGAAATGAGGTGCACCCCAGGGATAGCTTGCCCCTCTAGTCCACATGAACCTGGAACAGTACTCAGGACTCTGAACCCGTGGGCTCTCCAGCAGCAGCAAGCATGCTACAAAAGCATGACTTACTTCTGTGCTTTTCACTCTGACTGAACTTACACAGCTCATGCAATCTCACTGGAACGATAATGGATGAGGACAGTTTGGTTAGGGAAGAAGCAAAGCAATTTATTTTGTGTCTGTTTCACAACCCAGTCCCTCGGAGAGCATTTTAGTGAAGTCTCTAGAGTAGTAAATTATATCTCTGTTATTACAAACTAGAAGGAAACACGTACATCCCATCCTATAGGTGACTCTGACTGCTCACATTTCAAGAAGAAAACCAAGGCTAAGTGGCAGACATGAAGATGCTGCCATTTTGCAGCTTGCTGCATCTGATCAATTACTACTACAAGAAATAGGTTGAATTTTTTACTTTCAGTCATTTACTTGGCCAGAAGAAAGCACTGAAAACCAATTTTCACTATTGTTAATGTTTTGAAATGAAAGGGTAAGACAAGCAAGCAAAGGAAACCATTATTACTGCCAGGGTCCAGCATTTCCATCCTTGTATACTTAGAATGAACATCTTCCCTTCCCCCATCCTCCTTCATTTAAAAGTAACCTTCTCCTAGCATTGGCCCAGTCATGTGGCTCATTTCATTTTTTATCAAAGGAAACACAAAAAATACCTGTTTTCCTGGGGTCCCTTGTCTTCCAGTCTCTCCCTTTAGCCCCTTTAAAAGTTAATAAACATTATTGATTATTTGGCACAATATGGTTACATATAAATACTGAAATCTAAAGAAATGGCACAACAGTGGTGAAATATGAACATTAAATGAGAGATTGGAAGTTAGTCACTCAGAGAAAAAAAGAAAGTGAGAAGGAAAGTCAATGTAATCTTACAGTGAGATGGATAGAGGCAAGGAACATGCTACTGACTTCTAGAGCAAGTAAATAATTTTAGGTAATGAGGGAATTCTGCTGAGTCCACATTAATAGCATGAAAATAGCTTTACAACTCAAGGGATTTGGGCATTTTAACAATTTCAATGACAATTACATTCAGTGTTGACTATTTAAATTTTCTTTTAAATTTTTAAATATATACAGTTATATTTCAGTGAGAAAATATTTTGAATGGAGATCTTCAAATCAGGACAAATAAAAGAAACAAACTAAAAAGCTTTAAACACATTTATCTGTTTAATAAACATTTTGGATATTCATCATTAATAACACATTATCCCAGACTCTGAAGTATAACTTCATCCCTATATGGACCAGATAATATAGCCAATGAAAAATTCTAGTGAAAAAACTTAAGTTGCTGCTGCCCAGTGACTAATCCACTTACTTACATAAGTGAATTCCCAATATTTATTGAGCAGCACCTATTTTGCTGGCTCTCAGAGATACTGAAACAAAGATACCAGTGTTGCCTTCAAGTTCCATACTGTATGGCAGCAAAGATAAGTAATTGAATCAAGAATGAGGAAAAGAGAACCTGACAATTCAACAAGGTATAATTAAACATCGGGACTGGATCCTATTGGACATCTGACAGAGAAGGTAGGGAATGGGCCTTGCCCTTGAGTGCATCCTTACAAGATGAGTAAGAAGTGACCATTTAGAGAAAGGATAGGAGGACATGTGAGAAAGAGGGAGATTGGACATGGGGCAAAGCCATGTAGCACATTTTGGCTGAAGAGTGGATCCTAGTGGACAGGGTGGCAAGAGATAATGCTGGCGAAGACTTGGAGGAACCAGGGGGCTCCTTTTGGGACAGACACCCCTAAATGTGTGTGCAACATTAAAGGATTCCTTAGCAGATGAAGCTTGGCTGTTGCATGCTGGTAAAAGCAGGAAGAAAGAGAGTAGCATGGACTCAGAAGATCAGTTAGGAAGTCATCACCGTAATCCAGGAACCCTAAAAAAAATGATTGGGACAGTGGGGGACAAGTGGATGGGGCCAAGTGCAAGAGATATTTAAGACTGATTGGACAACGGGATGTGAAAGACAGACCAGGTTTTGCAATAACCTCAAAGATGGGTGTGTGCGCGTGCCTGTGGTGTGTGTGTGTGTGTGTGTAGGGGTTGTTGGTCATGGTACCAATTTCTGTGACAAAGAATTTGTAGGTGGGAACTGGTTTATGGGGAAGGATGGCAAGCTCAGTTTGGGATGTGTTGAACTGAGTCAAGTCGAAGCATCCAAAAGTAACACCAAGAAAAACATTGGAATGCATGGTCTGAAACTCTAACACTTAAAATTTACCTCGCCCCTAATTTCAAGACTAACTTAAATTAATTATAGTGATACTTGGGTATTTAAGTAAAAACTGTCTGAAAAATAACTGGATTTTGTCAGGTCACTCTAAAATATTCATACATGATATGAAGAATAAATTTGTAAGTTGTTGAGAGATGAATGTGGCAGATTTTCATTCTTATTTCAATTTGAAAATTCTTCCATGTCTCCCTGATTTTTTATCTGTGGAATATTTCAAAGTGTTTTTCTTTTTACTTTTTTACTTTAAGCTTATTTGCAAAGAACAAGTCACTACAACTGAGCTTCGTAGTTTTTAAAACATCATTAAAATGCCATCTGGGCACTAAGTGTGAAATTTAAAGTTGGAAATTCTTTTATCATTAAAACTTATAAGACTGAAAGGAGAAGAGATGCCATTTATCTCAGATAAGTATATCATAGCCTCAACCTAACGCCTTCCTAGTCGCGGGTCTTCAGTTAATGAAAGAATGTATCCCATAGTCTGATAAACTAACTGAGGTGGAACAGTCCTCATTCCCCATGTACACACGGGTGTCCTCTGTGCCTCTGATGCTAAGGCACCAAAATTAAGTGTGCTTCTCATTTACTCCAGGTGTCCCCAGAATAAGGTAATTTTCTAGCATAAATCTCCCTCCACGTGTTAACTTCATGTTTGCTATTGTTTCTTGTTAAATTTTTTTGCCAGAAGGTATTTCAAATAATTTCTGGAAGTATATACACTATAAATTCATAAAATACATAATATATTTGATGTATGTAATAAAATGTTTGTAAATACATGATATATATTGAAGCATGTAATAAAACATTTATTTCATTGAATCAAGAAGTATGGAATCATTCAATAGAAATTGAATTATTTGGTTCCCAAGATTTTTATGATAATGACACTGACAAATTTCAAGTTAGATTTGACTCTGCCTAAGATATTCATTAGCAAAAAGAGAAAAATATGATTTAACGGTTAGATATTGATGGTGAACCAGCAAGAAATTAAACATAAAAATTTGCAAGAACAAAGCTCTGATTTTATTGCTAAGCCATAAAAGAAAAAGCAAAGCAACATACCTGAATGCCCGTTTCACCTTGACTTCCTTTGTCTCCCTGCAAAACACATAGTTATTTTACATCATAACCTAGTATATTCTGTACCATTTCAAACATCATAATTTTATGCAGCAGAGAAAAACATAAGATCTCATCTGAATTCCACAAGTGCCTGTATATACAGAAGCTGACTCCTAGCCCAATATTTGTGAAGACTGTAAAACCATACTATGTCAAAATTATATCCTAAAAGACCACTGTCTTGTGCTTACACTAGAAAGAAAATTTTCAAACATTTCTGTTACCAGGAAGAACACATCTCTGTAGTGTTCACAGTCTGAGGTTAAAACAAACATTGTTTTATAAAATCAAACTGAAAATCTTCCATTAAGCTAATAGCAGCCACAAGTTTATAGGAAACAACGACAGAGTCAAACACAATGTTGTTTAAATGATATTTTGGAAAGCACATGCTTAAAATAGGCTTTTAAAGGACGATTCGTGTCCCATAATAATAAGCTTCACACAGTTTCTCAGCTGGAAGGGAAATAAGAGACCCTTGCAGCCCACACTGGCACTGCTCCCTGGGGAGGTAAGCACCCTGGACACGCTTCCCAAATTTCTTTTCTACCTCATGGTATTCAGTCAGAGTCAAGCTTTGTGTTTACAACAACTACAGATTTTCTTTTAAATGGCAAGACCGTGGATAAGAAAATTCTGGTAAGCCCAAATGTATGTCATGGTAGATTTACGAACATTCAACAAGATTGACATTTAATTGTTGTTCTGAGGCGTTATCTCTGTCTCAGCAAGTGCTGCCTGCTGCTCTTAAGAACAAAACGCCAAGAATCATGGTGCATGTAATAATTTAGAGGGACAGAGGGTGAAATGGTAGAAAGCTGAAATGGCAGGGGAGATGAAAACGGAGACACCACGGTTTGCATCCTTTCCAGAGTAACAGCCAAAGTGTTCTCCAAGTGTGTGCTTACAGTACAGGAATTTGTTTTGTCACGTGGGCATCGGTTGTTGCTTGCTGTCTATAAACAAATGACAATATTTGTATAAATACAGCACAGGGATGCTTTAACTGATGAGAGAGAGGCAGGAAGAGAGACAGAACGACAGAGACAGAGAAACCCCCAGTGCTGCTAGCTTACCTCACACCCCAGATGGTGTGAAATGAGGATATATGATTTGCATTAATTTTAAAGGAACTCCTGTGCAATAGTTTCACAAATGGGAACTTTATGGTCAAACATTCTGGATGTCATTTTCATCCTGTCGGAATTTTGCTTCAGTCTTTGTAAGAGTGGAATTCCTACTCTGGTAAAAGTGCCTGACATTGAATACAAATAAATTCTTGGATCATTTATACCAACTATAAAAAGTCCAAATTTACAAGGTGTTACTTAATTGTGCATTTACACTTTCTGATCTGCATGTCTCTTCCCAAGGCTTCACCTAGGAGACAATGCCCAGGCATGGATAGGGAAGATGTCAGATGGAACTAAATATACCAGGTGGCTTGTCATCACAAATATAACCGGTCCTACTGTGCTAACTTCACATGTAAATGGCTTATCAAAAGGGACTTAGGGGCTGGCGGAGTGGCTCAAGCTGTAAGAGCACCGGCCTAGCAAGCACGAGGCCTGCGTCCAAACTCCAGTGCCGCCAGAAAACAATTTTATTTGAAAAAGTGAACTATATCTCCAACACAATGCATACCTTTGCTCCTTGGACCCCCGGTAAGCCTGTGTAGCCAGGTTCTCCTGGGAGACCTTCTGCCCCTGGCTCCCCCTAGGTAACACAAAAATTCCATAAAGATCACAGATTTACTACTAATGAAAACACCACTGTTTTTTATCTTTCCATAGCACTCAGGTTTAAAATAAAATCCTGTAAACATTTACAGCTAGTACCATAGAAAGAATGAGAAGTTACTGGAGCCCTAAGAAAATTTCCCATATTTTCCCTGTCTTTTGCATGGTTCAAAAACCATGATAATATTTCATAGTTTTAAAAACAAGTGGAATTTTTTAATACTTTGTAAAGTATATCAATACACTAAATAATTATTTAGTAAAAATAATAAACACATGCATATTTTTGATTATTTCCCAACACATTTTCTTCCTCACACAAACTGCTTTGTCTTGTACTGAAAGTTTAAAAACACTGTTCGTTATAAAACTAATGAATAAAAGCATTAAAATTATTACTCACTGCTCTTATTTTGTTATATATTTTCTGTCTAATGCACAGACATACACAATTTAGTTAAGTCACTAAATGTGCCCATTATACTTTTTTTAAAGTCTTTTCACCTCAAAGTACATTAACATTATGAAGTTCCGGGCACGGCATTAAATACAGTTTTATAATACAATTTTTAATTACAGAAGAATATGCAATTGTATCATTTACTATATTTTATTTAATAAAATTCCCAATTTTTATTTTCATGAATAATATCGGGAGAAGAACCCTGATATGTGAATTTATGCAGGTGTATAATTTGTTCTTTCTACATATGAAATGTTATTGTCTCAGAAGCAATAAATTCTTGAAATGCTTTAATACAGGGAATATTTAATAGTTATCATAACTGTCATCATCCTACAGGGATTTTCTTTTCACAAATAAAGATTTTGTAAGTCTTTTTTTTGGGGAGAGGGGTTGAGACAGGGTCTCACTATGTAGCCCAGGCTGGTCTCAAACTCACAATCTTCCTGCCTCAGCCAGCCTGGGATTGTAGGTGTGCACCCCACACTGACCTGAAGTAAGGGCTGTTTAAGAATATTGATAATATTTAGGATGTATGTGTCAGAGATGGAACACAACCCCTAGCATGCTTCATAGGGTTTTGTTCTGTGTTGTGTTTTTCCATTTATCCAAAACTCTATTGAGATAACTAATAACCTCTCTCTTGTGGAAACCTCTTTATTCTCTTTGCTCATTGTGCTACTCCTGAGACACTAGTACTCTAGATGTTCAAAGGCCGAAGTAGAATTTACAATCCCACTGAAATAAACACAAACCATTTAGTTCAACAGACACCGGCAACAGCACTTGTAAGGGTCAGGCACCCTAGCTCCCAGTACTTAAGAGTGTGTGTTCAACTCAGAGGGCAACTTTTACTATTTTTAGGAAAACTCTGTCTGTATTACTCAGTGATACAGAATCTAAAATCAAAACTGAACCTCTGCACTGACTCATTTCATGTACCTTGGTGTCATGACACAACATTAATTTCACGTATCTTCCCTTACATGATACAAAATGGCAATTTTCTTAAGGAATGAAGGGAATGTACATTATCGTGCCTTTAACAACATTTCAAAAGCATGGAGTCACACTAACCTTGAGCCCAGCAGCCCCTGGCAGCCCTGGAAATCCAGGTTCACCTTTGCTCCCCTGTCAAAGCATCAAAACCATTGAACTTAAAAAAACATTTTAGTCACAATACATCTGATATAGACACTTGAGGAAATATATTTAAAATAAATTTTATATTTTCAACTTCCCAACTGCTCAACACATACTGTATCCATTAGGCCTGTTTATTAAAAACAACTCTTAAACAAGGAAGCAAGTGTGCACATTTACAAAGCTCTGTAAAAGTCAGTGCTAAAGCTGGTAACTGCGTTAAAGGGTAGATGCCGAAATATCTTTGCAGTACTGGGATTGAACCCAGGGTCTCAGCATGCCAGGCAGATGTGTTACCACTTCAGCCACAACCCCATCTTCTTGTCTCTTTGCTTTTGAGATGAGGAGGTCTTACTATGCGGGGCTGGCCTCGAACTAAGGTAACTAGGTGAGTCTGCACGATACGATCCATGGATGGAAGCCATTTACATCAACAGCGTTCTCTGGGCTGAGAGTCCTCATTTTGCTCTTTTCCCTTTCTCGGTGTGACTCACCTCCAGGGAGTAACTGAAGAAAGTTAGCTTCAAATACACAGTGGCTTTTTTGAAGCAGCATGAATCAGAAAATGTTTAGTTTGCACCCTTCTTGAGGATTCTAGCACAGATGGACATGTGGAGAGAAAGATCAGGTTGATACAAGGAAATGGTGTAGGAAGGTGAGTGCGGTGGAAATATATGTACTCATGTATGAAAATGGAAAAATGAGACCTGCTGAAACTGTTCCAGGAATGGGGGGAGGAAGATAAAGGAGAATGATGGAGGGGGTGAGTGACACATTGTAAGAACTTGTGTAAATATCACGATGGACCCCTGCAGTACACATATCTCGATATAATTAAAAAATATAAAACCAGACCAAGTTGATAGAGCAAAGAATTGTTAATATAGGGAGAGACAGCAGCATATTGAAAAGAGAGAGAGAGAGAGAGAGAATAACCCTGCTGGGTAATAAGATGATTGTGTCAAATGTAATTACAGTTCTAAACACTTTGATACCTGCAATCACAGCACAGTGTCTGCCAAAAGCCTGTGATTAAGCAAATCAGTGTGACATCTGGTAGGCCAGGGCACCATCACCCAGTGCCGACTTGGTCACTAATAAGTAAAGAAAACTTCATTTCCAGCTTTTTAAAGAGTTTCCAAGACTACTCTCAAATAGTGAGAACTACTTGAGTATAATATTTGGATTTAATTAAAGCATTCACAACATAGCAAAACACTACTGAAACAAAAAACAATGGTTCCTCAAGATTTCTCATTTCACAAGGGATTATTAGCTAAAACTCACGGAGGTGACAAGAGTTGCTGAACGTTACAGGATTTGGTTACATTAATATATCACAATATCATGTAGTTAATAAGTTTCTGACAAGCCAAATACACAGTAGTGTGGAAAAGAGGCTTGTAAGTGGTTAGTAACTATTTGTGAAAGAGGTGTTGTGATCCAAATTGGAAGGTTTCCAAAGATCTGTCAACCTTGCCCCTTCACTAGTTAGTAAAATTATGGTAGCATCCTAAAATCTCCACTGATAACATTACGGGCCCACGGTTGAGAAAACACTCAGGGACGTGCTAACCCAGAGCGCAGTTAACCAGCACCAAGGGCTCAGTCCTGCGTGGCACGTGGTTTTGAAACAAGGTTTTGCTGGAACACAGCCACGCCCTCTACCATCCATTGGTGCATTGGCTGTGGCTGCTTCTACACTACAACAGCACAGTGGAGTCACTGCAATAAAGACAATATGGCCCTCAAAACCAAAAATCTTTACTATCAAGTCCTTGGCAAGAAAGAAGCTGAAACATTTCACTGAAAGGACTAATGAGTCCCTGGGTTCAATCCCTAGCACCATAAGAAAAAAGCAGTTGACGGATTTAGTTTTAATATTATGGTTCAATGTTTAACAAAATAATTTCATAAGTGCAAGACAAGAGGAAAACAAATTACAGGAATTTATATGGAAATAAACTGATGCTTAAAACACTACTCGCCTACCAGCCAAATAGGCAGAATTTATTCACACGGTAAAATACCGGAACAAATGCTTGGATCTTGTCTTTTATGGAAAATCCAGAAGATTCAACTGACCGCCAGCTAGTGTAAGCCAACAGTGTGATGCTACTAATTTTTTTGAAAAGCTGATGGAAATCTTAGGCTGCATTCTCAGGAATTAGGGCATCCAGAAAACCATGGAAGAGCCCACTATGGCCAAGTTATTAAGGGCATATAACTAATCTATACCCTTTTATGAAATGACATTGAGAAATTAAGTACTTCTACTTGGTAAGTTCAATGGTTTTATGCCAACTCTGGGCACACTTACCACTGCAAAGACTCACAGATATCCACAGGGATATCTGGTGTACACAGCAACAAAAGACTGGTTACTTTTCTGAAATCACTGGACTTTCATGGTTTTGTTGTTTGTCCTTGGTTTGTGGTTTTTTGTTAGGCAGAGTCCTGCTTCATAGCCCAGACTGGCCTCAAACTCATGATCCTACTGCCTGGGCCTCCCAAGTGCTGGGATTAGAGGCCAGGGCCACTATGTGACATTTCATTCTTTTTTTTTTTTTAATAGCTCAGAAATTAAATGTAGAATAGGTTACTAATCTGATATGCCAGGATCTTTTCTCCAGAACAATGTCTTAAGGTTGAGTGTTTCCAAAACAGCAATTCCATTACTTCCTTTTCAATGCTTATCCTAGAATCTATTCACTAAACAGTCAGTAACAGTTTCCTGGGTTTTGCCAGAATGCACTTGATTTGTTCTCTGCCTTATGTGTACAACTTTTTGTCCCACCCTAGGACTTCAACAGACAATACTGAAGTCAGAATCAACCCACATTTAGTTGATAAAACTGGCAGGTGTAAGTTCACACAGAGGTTGGTAAGTACTGACCCACAAATTAAATCCAAAAGAAAAAAAAAAGCAATTCTCTTAGCAGAGGATTCTGTACACCTACAGAATGCTCAAACAATAATATGCAAAGAAATTCAGTTTTATCATAAGGATAACCTAACCTGGTATCCTAAATATATTTATCATGATTGCATTACTTTTTTGACAATCTGAAGGACAGTATGATATCTTACCCACAGGAATAAGGGAGTGACCGTACAATAAAACTTACAACCAGATATGTTACAAATGAGTTTAAGAGCTATCCTCAATGCTTGGTGCTTTTGGCACCTGATCCATAAAGTTCTGAGCATTCCTCAGTGACCTGAAATGACTAAAAATGGAGGAGGGGTCAATTTTCAAGGGATTCTAGAACCTCTCTAGGTTACACCTGACCTGCTCTGTTTCAGCCTGTTTCTTATGCCAAACTTTTGATTGCCCACAGACTGAAAACCACATTCACAGTAAAAATCAATGTAGCTGAATTGTCACTAAAATTATAAATGGTCACCATGATGGCTCAAGGTCTCAATCTTGTTCACTCAGTTATATTTACCTTAGATCCTGGTGTGCCAGGCTGGCCTGGTGAACCACTGCTTCCCACCAAACCCTACATTTGAAAGTGGGAATTTGAAGAGTGACTTAGAGAAGAATATTAAAAATATTAAGTGCAAGTCATACATTCTCACAATAATTAATCCCTTGAATTTTAATACAGTATTTGGGAAATTTCCCCACAACTATCCAAACATAAGACAATAAAATAAGCAAAGAATGCAAGATAGAATGAAGGCTGGCAGTGCTCTGATAATTCTTTTGCTCAATAAACCTACAAAGAAAAAAATTACAAAATATAAATGTAAGGAAAAGTTTACTATTTCTATACTTCTACTGTCTTCATTTTTTTCTTGATGGTTAAGAAGTTTTCAAGTAGGTGTTAACATTAATTATAATTTTTATTATCTTGAACAGTATTTTGATAGCTACAAGTTAGTAACTTCTCTGACTATGATAATCTCTTTTTCAAGCATATTTTATTATTACTACTATTATTTTAATTATAATTAAATAATTAAGAAGTATTATTATTACTTTGGTAGCCCTGGGGTTTGAACTCAGAGCTTCATGCTGGCCGCTCCATCAGTTCTTCAAGCATATTTTAACTCACCATATGATTCAAAATAAGATGATAACTGCTCATGAAATTGAGACCTGATTTAATTTAGATTCTACTTTAACTACTACTATTATATATGTAAGACACTTGGAAAAAGAAATGTGATGTATCAAAAATATTGAATTAATATCAGAAGACATACACTCAATATAGCCATAATAAAAATACCTTGTCACTACTCTATGCTTTTCTCCCAATTTAGGATGCTATTGCCACTACAAAATGCAAATACACTAGGACATAGCAAGTGCTTAGAACATCAGCAATGTTGAATGCAGATGTTCTTGGTGATCAATGGTAACTATCTTCATTTTCTGGAGGCTACCTTAGATATTGATAACAAAATTAATTTATCCTAATTAATAAATAAATTGGTAGTGAGGTGAAAGCACAGAAAGAGTGCTACATTTCAAAGGGCAGAAGCTTCTACCAACCTCCTCAAAACTTTAATTCATTTTCCTTATATACTCTTGCATACAAAATTACACCAAGTGTAAATAAAACATCAACTTTCAAATTTATCTGTTCTTCACAATGCAATGAGAATCATACATTTTCAAATGTGAAAATGATGTTTTACTTAAAGGTAAAAGATACTGAAGACAGTTTAATTCAAATATTAAATCAGTATCATTTCTAAGAGCAAACTTACAATGTTTTTAATCTTAGGCACACATGATTGGATTTTCACAATTTATAGTATCAAATTCCTCTGTACCTTCAACTCCTGAAACTTCTAAAATAATTTTCTCATAGAAAAAAATATTAGTTGAGTTTTTTACTTTCTCATAAAGTATATTTACTGTTTTTTAAAGTGAATACCCAGTATATTTCTTTTCAGATTTACTATAGATAATCTTTTCAGATTTATCTATAGTAAATCTGATCTTTATTTGAGTAGGCAACTTTTTAAGAATTGGAAGAAATTTTGACTCCTCAATAAAAAAAGAAATAAATATAATATTTTTAACACAAGTAGATGTAAATCCCATTACAGTAAACCCCAGTACAATATCTGGTGCAGAATACAAGCTTCCATTCCATAGAAACAACTCTTCAAACATCCTCAAAACAATGACTTGAGCATACTGGCATTCCTGGAGCTCCTTTTATTCCTTGTGGTCCTGGAGGCCCAATTTCTCCCTAGAAATCAAATACAGATCTAAGTTAAAACTTGCACATTATTGATTCATTCTCTAGAATTTTTACCAAAGCAGTATAGAATGAAAACACAATACTAATCAGCACAATTAGTAACCTTCCCTTCGTCTACTGTGAGAGGATGAGAAAAAACAGAGCTCTATTAAAGGCCTGGGCCTAGAGTCCCTGGAATTGTCACGTCTTCCTTGTGAACTCTGGAGTGACACTTGACATTCTAGCAAAAGAAGACTTCGTAGCTCAGACAGTTGGTTAAGTGAGATGCGGGGGAAGGGGGCATGAAGAAGTGAATTTTTTTCTTTTTTATTACAGAGTTTAAGAGCTATGATGGATTTAGACTTCAACTTCTGGAACTGTCCTCTAACTGGGTGCTCTGAGGGACTCTCTAAATTTAGAATAAAATCCCTGAAAAAGGATCCTTTGTGAGAGAGTGTCGGTCTTCTATCCAGTAGGGAAAACATTCAAAGATCCCTTATTTTAATAAAATGTGCTGTGGACTAAGCTACAATTATAAGGATTTGGAACTGTGCAGAAATCTTGCAGCAGCCCACAGTGGTAGCAGTGTTTGAGGGTGCTGACTCAGCTACTGGGAAACTGAATGTCATCCAGCTATGGGAAGGAGGCAGAAATCTTCAACACCTATGACAACTCAAGGATGATTTTTGGGAATGGCTGTAATGGTATTCATTGCTTCCAGAAGTCAGCTCTCCATTCCCCAGTTAGGCTGGCATGACTCCCTCCAAATTAAGATGAATCAATGAGTTCACCATCAACAATGAAGTGTAAGTAAATGAAAAAAATGATACTTTTTTTAGTGAAGAAACAGGAGACAACAATCCACAAGACTCATAGTTAACAAGAATCACAAATAACAAAGTACAAATATTGGAATTATTAGAAATAGAACTTAGAACAACATATGAGATATTTAAAACTTAAAAAACTTGAATCATGAAATCTTATTAGAACTGAAAATGTAACAAGAGACTATAAAAAGATATGGTATAAAAAACAGACAATCTAGAAGTAAAACTATGATTGTGTATATTTTTTTAAATAATCAGTTTGTGGTTTAAAGAATAGATTAGACACCTTAAAAGAAGAATAAGCAAAGTAGAAGATATATCCAAAGATTTTAACCAGAATGTAAGACATAATCAAAGATATGAAAAGACAAAGCTGTATTAAGAGATGCAGAGTATAAAGTTAGAAGGAAGAACATATTCCACAAGGAGAAAACAGTTGCATTTTTCCACAATTAACAGAAATAATTCAACATGACTAGTAAGTAAACTGCATTCCTGGCAGGATGAGTAAAGAGAAACCCACCATATATACATTACAGTGAATTCAAGAACACCAAAAACAAATAAAATATCATTAAAGAATCCAAAAGAAAGGAATAGATCACTTACAAACAAGGGCAGTTAGAATGACAGCTGATTTTTATGTTTAACAGTGGAAGCCAAAAGACAATAGGAAGGAATTCTTCATTTAATAAGAGAAAATAGAAGTTGACCTTGAATGTCACACTCTACAAAGTTATCTCTCAAAAATCAGAGTAAATTAAAGAAATTTGTAATTAAACAAAAACTGGAATGTTCATTAACATGATATCTATACTAAAGGAAAATCTAAGGCTACATTTTAAGAAGTAACTTATCACAAAAGTATACCAAATGGAAAAGTAATTAAGTAAACAAGTACATAAATATAATCTAAATGAATATAAAATGAAAACTAACAGTTTCTGAAATTACATATGTGAACAATTAACTGCCACCATGGGAGTAAAAGTGCTCTATGTGAGGACCATAGCCACCACTGTTTCACTCTTTCAAAAAGCAGCTCCAGGCCCCAAACTTCCAATTTTCATTAATACTCACCTTTTGTCCTATTAACCCTTGGTTTCCAGGAAATCCTGGGATTCCCTGATAATAAATAAAACAGATTTTAATTAAAATTGTCCATCATATCATTAAAGAACAATCAGTCCATAACCAGAATTCATAAACTTATTTATATTTGTAAAATATGTGTATATATGTATATGCATGCAAATAACACATAGTTTAAAACTTTCATCATGCAAAATGCAGTATAACACTGCTATTTACAGCAATACAATTTTGGATAAGAGAAAATCTGTGACATTTAGCATTAAGATCTACTGATACTTAAAGCTCAAAACAAAGACTTTTACAAAGAAAAGGTTGCAAGGATATTAAATCATGATTCTTCTTTCAGGCTGACATAAGTGATACAATAAAGAGGAGATTTAATCTGAACACATCCTGATATTAATTAAAATGAACAATACAAGAAAAACTGTCAAATAATACAAGTTCAGATTAAGTACAACTATTTCAAATGTTCTCACAATCTTACAGCCTTCACTAAAAAACAGTGAAGTGAAATCATTTCCTCCAAATCGGGCTTTAAACACCAGGACTCTAACTACTTGCAGAAAATGTATCAGTCTCTTCTCCTAATGATTGCCTGCTGTAACCTTGAGGAACACAGAGATTGTACATTGCAGACAGAAAGACAGAAAGACATACAGATAACTCTTTCAATTGCTCCATCCCAAAGTCTAAGTTCCCTTGCAAGATTCAAAGAAAATTAATGCACTTTCACTCAAGTTGAGAATAAATTTATCACAACACGCATTTGTTAATGGGAAAGCAGTTCTGTTGTGTTTCACCCAAATCAACAGTGATGGCACCAATCAATTTCCAGGGATTATTCTTTTTTCTTGATGACACTCCAGTTTAAATTAGTATTTATGTTTATTGGCACATATTGACTTATGGAATAAGGAATTTGAAAAACAAGGAGGCTGGGCCTCATCATTTGTCCTTGACAGACCTGTGCATCATTGGAGCATCCAGAGGGCAGCAGTCCTCCTCAATAAATCAGGGCAGAAGTAGGGCTGCCACTTCAGTGAGACCGAGTGCCTTGGACTACAGGGAGAGTCCGACATTATTCTGTTTTTCCACACTTGAGTTTATGAATACTGACGAATGTTTAACCGTAATATAACGCAAGACAGAAGTACATAACTCCAGTTTTACAACCCATTTATTTCTATTCTATTCAGCTAAGTTCATTTGCTAGTTCACCACACCCTCAGCAGGGGGAAAAGGCCCATGACTATCAACAAAGGGCTCAAAATCCAATTGTAAAGACAGCTTTTATAAACATACTAACTAGAGAACAAAATGAACACAATATAAATTAAAATTTTAAACATTAGAAAACACAGGCACAGTATACCCAACAAGCTTTCTAAAACACAAGGCAAATCAATGAGCTATGGCTAAAAGAGAATAGACTGAGATGAACTATATCCAAGACAAAATGCCTAGTTTTAATGGAATCAATTAGCACAAATATTGCTCAAATTTAAGCCATGGTTTGGTGTAAAACAACTCCTCCCAGTCAAATACACACACACACACACACACACACACACACACACACACACAAGTTCACTATAAATTTAGACTATGTCCTACATTTAATTAAAATCTATCTGTAAAATATTATCAGAAGGAAGGTGGCTGCACATTTTCTTTACTGGAAAAGCAGTGCAATTTTTCTAGGACCCCAGAACCCTTAATTGGGAACAGGCGTTTGTCCATGGCGCTGTCAGACCTGAGAAACTGCACCTCTTGCTGCCTGGAGTCGTTCATTACTCAGGCTCCCATTGCTATTCAAGTCTATGCCTTTACACAATCTACGATAGTAGCAGGAAATGGTTACAGATACCCTGACTCTATTGCTGAGTCCGAATCCAATCCCAGAGCCAGCAAGCCCACATCCCTGAAGAACAATAGTTGTGCCCAGGCATACGTGAACACCATCCTGACGTGGCTTTCCCGGGAGTCCTCGCAAGCTTACGTCCCCAGAGTGCACTCCGGGATTTAATTCGCTACTTTTATATCTGAATTTTTCTAACACTGAGTTTGATCTGTATTGGTCACAAATCTTACATCATTTTAACCTATCAGAGATCGAGATTATTTTGAGGAGGTTCCATATTAGAAAGCAGATTTCCTTATTTATTTTCTGTCCTCTCAAGCTAGTAAAAATATTAATGTACACTTCATAGGTATTCAAGTAAGTCATAATATTTTTATGCTATACTAAGGATTATTACTTATAAGGTCAAGAAAAAGCATATAAATATTAGACAATATTTCTTATAGTAATTTAAATAAGCAGTTCTTGGCAAAAATAATATCACACGGTAGAGATGTTTGCACACACATGTTTTTTGTGGCACTGCTCAAATTGCCAAGTTACAGAATCAGGATGGATGCCCATCAACAGAAGAGTGGATAAAGAAAATGTGATATAGACATACAATGGAGTTTTGTTCAGCCATAAAGAATGAAATTACATCATAATGGATGGAACCAAAGATAATCATGTTAAACAAAATTAGCCAGACTCAGAACAGCAAATATTATGTATTCTCTCATATGTGGAATTTAGATTAAAAACAAAAAAGACACAAAAGTAGAACAAGAACTATTTGGGGAGATATAGGGGGGACAAGAAGGAGTAAGGGGTGAGTGAATATAGTCTAAAGGTATTCTATACATGTGTGAAAATGTCAAAATGGAACCCATTATTTTGTACAATTAAGATACACTAATAAAAGAATGACCAGAAAAAATGACTAATATCATAAGCAAACTCAACATAAGAAGACTGTTGAGGGGAAGTTAATGAGAAGAACTGAAGTAATTCAGAGCTGTATTAGTTAATAAAATTCTGCTGGATAATATTTTCCTGGACTCCCGATGCATGTACTGAAACCAACACAACTTTGCCAAATTTACATTAGCAGAAATATCTGCAAAACTGCTTGAAAGTTACCAGTTTGTTGATCCAAAAGAATTTAGTGACAATTACTTCACAGAGCAAATGTTTTTTTTAGCAAACTATTTTCTCTTTTACTTTCATCCCATGTGGTTTGGAGTTCAGGGAACTGTGAAAATTGTGTAAACAAAGACAGAAATGGGCATTTTGCTTGGTAAGAATAAATGGACATATCTCCTCCAGTTCTGTGTTTTCTTCTTTGGTTTTGAGGAAGAGCAGAAAATCAACTGGAGAATCTTGAACAATTTGGTGAAATAATGCTGACATGTTAAAATGTTCTAGAAGAAATGGTTCTCTGTAACCACTTAAACCATTACTTTGGAACAAATAAGTCATTAGGAACAGAAATACAGCTGGGTGCAGTGGCTCACCCCTGTAATACTAGCTACTTGGGAGGCAGAAATCAGGAAGATCATCGTTAGAGGCCAATCCAAGCAAAAAGTTAACAAGACTCCATATCAACCACAGGCCTGTCACCCTAACTTGGCAGGAAGCATAAATCTGTCTGGATCATGGCCTGGACATAAACATGAGACCCTATATCAAAAATAACCAATGCAAAAAGGACTGGGGGGGTGTGGTTTAATTGGTAGAGCACCTGTCTAGGAAGTGTGAGGTCCTGAGTTCAACTCCAAGCACTGCCAAAAATAAAATGAAGAGAAATACATACTGTAGAACAAACAGTACGGCCTCTATTTCACAGAGATGATAATGAATATAATGTGTCCATCACACGTAGAAAAGACAAAATATCACGTGGACGTATTCAACTTACCCCAATATGAGGTTATCTTGGATAATATCTGCCCTTAAGTAATGCAGTATTTTCAATGTACTAAAACAGACAGACTCCACTAATGGTATTTTTTATACGAAAATGTCTAACCTTTCTACACAGTGGTAGAGCTATTTAATATTTCGGATTTATCAAAACATTAGAAGCACAGTACATATTTTCTCCAATTGTAACAAGAAGTAATTTTGTCACTCTTAGAGAGCAAATGAAGGAAAACACATATATCAGAAAGCTCATTTTTTTTCTTTTATTATTCATATGTGCTCACAGGCTTGGGTCATTTCTCCCCCCTGCCCCACCCCTCCCTTACCACCCACCCCGCCCCTCCCTCTCCCCCACCCCCTCAATACCCAGCAGAAACTATTTTGCCCTTATTTCTAATTTTGTTGTAGAGAGAGTATAAGCAATAATAGGAAGGAACAAGGGTTTTTGCTGGTTGAGATAAGGATAGCTATACAGGGCATTGACTCACATTGATTTCCTGTGCGTGGGTGTTACCTTCTAGGTTAATTCTTCTTGATCTAACCTTTTCTCTAGTTCCTGTTCCCTTTTTCTATTGGCCTCAGTTGCTTTTAAGGTATCTGCTTTAGTTTCTCTGCGTTAAGGGCAACAAAAGCTAGCTAATTTTTTAGGTGTCTTACCTATCCTCACACCTCCCTTTTGTGCTCTCGCTTTTATCATGTGCTCAAAGTCCAATCCCCTTGTTGTGTTTGCCCTTGATCTAATGTCCACATATGAGGGAGAACATACGATTTTTGGTCTTTTGGGCCAGGCTAACCTCACTGAGAATGATGTTCTTCAATTCCATCCATTTACCAGCGAATGATAACATTTCGTTCTTCTTCATGGCTGCATAAAATTCCATTGTGTATAGATACCACATTTTCTTAATCCATTCGTCAGTGGTGGGGCATCTTGGCTGTTTCCATAACTTGACTATTGTGGAAAGTGCTGCAATAAACATGGGTGTGCAGGTGCCTCTGGAGTAACCTGTGTCACAGTCTTTTGGGTATATCCCCAAGAGTGGTATTGCTGGATCAAATGGTAGATCGATATCCAGCTTTTTTAAGTAGCCTCCAAATTTTTTTCCAGAGTGGTTGTACTAGTTTACATTCCCACCAACAGTGTAAGAGGGTTCCTTTTTCCCCGCATCCTCGCCAACACCTGTTGGTGGTGGTGTTGCTGATGATGGCTATTCTAACAGGGGTGAGGTGGAATCTTAGTGTGGTTTTAATTTGCATTTCC